CTAACAGAATCATCGGATTTCTATTCTGAGGCCGTCTTCACACTGTTCCGACTATGGCCAACTTTCCAACACTTAAGCTCTCAATTGGGGACTAAGTGTCCCAAAACTCTCCGAAACTCAAAATCGAACATCCCGGCAAATCAAAATAGCACAAATAAACTCGGGGAAAGAAGTTAATAGGGGATCGGGGCGTTAATTCTTAAGACGACCGGCCGGGTCGTCACAGTATAAATACTACATGGTGCAACATCATCATAATTTAGTACTGTGAAGCGTAACATCATCGTAATGTAATATTGACAAGGCGAAACATCATCGTAATATAATATTGTAGGACGTAATATCAACGTAATATTGCGGGGCGTAACATTTAACATGATAATGAAGTCATTCACCAATGATTCCAGCCTTATACCATATATTTATAACAACAAAAATAATTTAGAACTCCAACTATCCTTAATTAGCAACTTTATTCACTAGTTCATGTCTAGTCCATCCATTTAACTTAATCAATATCAAGATAACCTTAAACACATGCAAGAACACAAAATATATAACTCCTACAGTAGCTTCAAGTTAAAATCCAAGTTATATTTAGCTTATAAACAACCCTCGATGGCAATACAACACCATAGAAGTGACTTAAGCTAATCCAACTATTATCTTGTAGTTTATCATCCTAACAACTTAATCAATATACAAACAAGCTTAAGAATAATTAGTAGGCTGTTATACTCACCTTAGCCAGTAGCAACAACTTGAAAATTCAGTCAAACACAACCCACAACTATCCTCAATGACAACACAACCTCAAAGAGGTGTTGTTCTTCACTATAACTAACTTTTGATATTGAAATATGGTGTAATCACTTTGGAATCACTTCAAACCCTTATGGTATCTGTTTAGGAGGGTTAGGAGAAGTTTGGAGATGAGTTGACTAAAAAATTAGCAGAAAATAGGCGTCCAAATCGTTTTTAAAGTGAAGTAGGTCGAGCACCGCCTAAGTGGGTCCCATGGGAGCTACTTGCGCAGTCTCGCGAAAATGCGAATATATCTCTACTCCGACGTTGTATCGACAAACGGTTTAATGCGTTGAAAACTATACTCATAGATCTTCAATTTGGTAGATATATCATACAATAATTCCAAGTATACTGGGAGAAAAGCTCAGCTACATTTGACCTAATTTTGAGCATATTATGAATGTAACTTGTGATGACCTTTGCCAACTTTTGTTCCACAACTTGTTTGACTTCAAAACATAGCACACAACTATCATACGACTATAATAACTCACAGAATAACCTCCTTACCATGTTAAGAACCCTTGTATTACCCCAAAGTACATGTTATAACATTCCAAACTTGTCGACTTTTGACGAACCTTATTTTCTTCAATTGGTTTAGCTTCTAAGCTTTCCAACCCTCTTGGTACTCATTATTCATGATCTTAAATATTTGTAACCTCCACGGTAACATGATTAACTTACTTTATATGATTCCAAATATAATCTTATTTCTGAGCTTACATGAATTGACTTACGACATACTCTCACATATAAAAACATGGGGTTTTAACATGCTCCCTCTCCAAGGGACCTACCAATCATTCCAGTCATGCCTTCCCTTCTCCCGAGTGATTCAGAAGGTTAACCCCCCCACCGACACATTAGTCAAAACTGGCAAACACCGGCGCTCGTCAAAGAACTAGTAAGGGAGGTCATAGAGCAGAAGGGTGTAATAGATGAAGGAGGAAAGGCCTCTTGGAGGGCTTGGCCACATCTATCCCTTTTCCTCGGTCCAAGAAAAAGGGTTCGGCTCTTGCTGACTCCAAAGTAGGGGACTCTAGACCCTAGTCCCCAATAACTTTTTTCGTTGACTCAGAGCTGGGGGAATCCCACCCCTAGTCCTTTAACATTGCGGGTGGTGTATCGAGGATGCTCATCAGGGGATAGCTCGGGGAAAACCTTGGACACAGTCAGGATCTATAAAAAAATTCAACCTTGTTCTTTTTTGAGAAAGACCCGTCGAAATAGAAACTGGAAGGTCTGCTTTTCTTTTCAAGGGAGAAATTTGTCTTACCCTTTTCAGGGAAGAGTCAATGGAAGACGGAAGCCTTATCAACACTTGCAGAGCAGCCTTCCTTAGAGATATGCCTATAAAGGAACATGCAAAAAGGTGTCACACTAAGAATCCCGAAGAGTTGAAATGCAGTTGGTATGGACACTTACCATGATCCTTGGCTCGCCACTCTAAGACCTCAGATATAAATCTCTAGGATCTCTCAGTTATCGGAGAGGATGCCAAAATCTTTTTCACCCACTCTTTGATGTCTGGAATACCTTCCGGAACTACCAACATGCCAACCGAGAGAGGAGAAGCAAGAACAAAGCAATGACAGATAAGAAAATAGGGAGGCTAAAATAAGAAATGCTAATGTAATCAAAGGAATGTATACTTACGTCTATCATTCCACCTCTCCGAAATAGGCCTGTCTTCGGGCTTGACCAACTCATGAGTGGGGACTGCAAGAAAGTATCAAACCACCTCCTGTCGTGGTCATCCTCGGCATCCACAAGGATCCGAGTACATCGACTAGCCATTGAATAATTCTCCCCTTAGGCGACTTGGAAGCAAATAGATGTAGAAGGGGCGTGTGTGTAAGAGAGAGAGAATAGAACATCGACTACACTTACCAAGAAATAGAAGCACGCCACAAGCCTCTATATATTCGACCCAACTTGGCCTAAGCACACGTTGAAATAACGACAAAAGTCAAAGATTACAGGATCTATCAAGGGTTCGAACCCAAAGGTGAAGAGATAAGTATAGACGAAAGAGAATCCTGGCATGTGGCTGGAAATTATTTTGGTCACCTGAGGGACGTGAATAGCGACATGATTACCATATCGACAATCATAAAGGATTAGGGGAGCATGTTCTTTACGGACAAGGGAATTTATATTTTCAACATGTGAACTCCCGCATTGCACTGTCACCTTATTCCATGCTTCAATTACTCCCTCAAAATCACAACTTTTGGGAAGAACCTCCAAGACCGTGGGCTTAAAGGTCTGCTTCCCTCCTGGTGGAAGTGGAGAAACACCTCTGGCCAAAGGCATTGAGGGGTGATCATCCATTGAAGGAAAGCCAAAACCATGGGAATCCATGTGAGTTACAAACAAAGGGGTTGAAAATGAAGAGTTGATTGGAAATTAAGCGAAGCAAGAAAGACAGTAAAGAAGATGAGAGAAGGAATTTTGAGTTGATTGGGAGGCCCACAACCCGATATAGATAGGCGGGAGAATCCTCCTCCTGTAACCGCCAAAATCGGGAAAAGTTCCCTATCATAAGTAATCATCATTGCCTAGGAACTGTAACAGGTGGGAAGATCGACTAAAAACAGCCATGTGTCCTAGCGTATTAAGTATGGACAGTGCGCGAGTCGCGTTATTCCTAAAAATTGAGTTTTATTGAAACTCTTTCTTGCAAATGAAGAATTCTTTGCAAGATTGACTCCTACCAAGGAAAGAAGACTATCACTTATCGAGCATTCGTCATCGAATCACCAAACAAGTGGTGGGGACTGACTGTGTGGGTAAAAATTACCCTCTCCATGTGACGTAACGAAAAAGTCCCACGTGGAAATTAAGATATAGAAATCAAGTAATGGGACCCACTTCCAAGTTCAGAAGGTCTTGAGATTATTGTCATCGAAGGGTCAAATATTCAAAAGATGGACAAATGAATTTGAAGACTTAGCCAACCTTATACGGAGATCGTGGATATCAACGTTACATCGAAACGGAAGCCATTATTGAGAATCCTGCTCTCCACTACCTAATCCACTAACGTGTTGGCTCGAAACTCGAAATGGTAGCCGCCACAACGCTCGAAGGAGGGATCATCGAAAGGAAAACTCTCTCTGAAACAAAATATCGTCTTGTGCTAGGCTTTTCTTGACTAAGCTTTGTAATTCAATCATACTTGCTCGGGATTGGAAATAAACAAGATTTTTCTCTGTTGCATAGTTCTTTTTAATCTATTTCGTAATTAATTATTTGTCTTTATTCATTGTGTGCAACCGTTTTGAATCAAACAAATTGCTAGTGGCCCTTGAAAAATACAAATTTAATTGTTTAATCTCAAAACCAGTTTTTGGGTCAAACAAGGCATAAGTTATTTCGGTATTATATTTAATTTTTAATAACTTATCTTAGAATTAATAACCAAATAATGGATAAAATGATACTAAATTTTCGTCCCACGATTATTTGTGCTATCTATCTTACCAAATGTCCCCCAAATGTATAGGTTTCACTCTAAAGCCTGTTAAAATTACTCCCCCCGGTCCATACTAAGTGATCAATTTACTTTTGGCACACCCATTAAGAAAATACTAAATTCTAGATAAAAATAGTTAATGTGACTAAACTACCCTTAATTAAATGTTGCAGCATAGTTATAGTAGTACTTACTTCTCTTCTCGAATGTGAGGAGTAAATGACTTTTAAGGGATACGTACATAAGAGTAATTTTGAAAAAACAAATTGATTTTTTTAATTATATAAATGGACACTTATTTTGGAACAAAATAAAAAAGCAAATTAGTCACTTAAGGGTCATTTGGTTGGCATACGATTTATACCGGTATAAATTATGCCGGTATAAGTTATATTGTGATAAGTTATGCTGGGATTGTTGTTTATTTATTGTTTGTTATGTTGTATTAAGAATGACAATTGCATAATTTCTAAGAAGAAGGTATAAGTTATACCGGTGCTAATTACCTTACCTTTTATAAGGTATAAGTTATTCCGGTGTTAAAACTAACACCGGAATAACTTATACCTGACTTGGTAACCATTTTAACACCGGAATAACTTATACCTGACTTGGTAACCAAACAGAGTATTAAGGTTATATTATATTTCTATAGCACCCTTATATATTGTTATACCTAGTACCAAACACCCGTTATTGTGGATGGGAGGGAGTGACGTTTTGGTCATTTTCTGTCAAACCGTAGGAAAGAAAAGAAAAGAAGAGGGAGGAGAAAGAAGAAAAGTTGGGGAGTGTTAAACCACATTTTCATTGAAAAAGAAAACAGCGAGCGCTGTCCTCCTACTACACTCTTGCATTTTTGCTCTCAACTGTTTCCTCTTCAAGAAAAGTTGCATGGTGTTCGTCGGCCAATAATAGTCATGTCTCATTAGGGTTTTGCTTTAGAACAGAGTTGGATCAATCCATCCGGCAATTGACTGGCAATTGACTGTTTGATGTTCACTCAAGAAAGAAAAGTATGGGCGGCGGTACCCGTAACGCCGCCAAGAAACGGTAAGGGCAAGGCAGTGGCTTTTGCGGATGACCACGTTCCTCTTCCTGTGGGGCTCTTGAGTGAGAATGCTCAAAGGAATTTGGGAGATAGGGAAAACATTGACGATTGGAGGAGATTCAAGGAAGTTGGATTGCTAGACGAGGTTGCAATGGAAGGCCGCGACCGCCAAGCCCTGCTCCTAAAGATTGCCAAGCTTGAAAAAGAGGTAAAACAACTAAACTTATGGTGTATTTATTGGTTTGGAATGTGAAATAAGTATATTTCCTTCTTCACAACTCTACTGGTGGATTGAATTTTTACCCTAATTGTTTGCTTTTATGGGCAGCTTTTTGATTATCAGTATAATATGGGGCTTCTATTGATTGAGAAAAATGAATGGACATCCAAGTATGATGAACTTAGAGAAGAACTTGCAGAACTACATGAATCTCTCAAACGTGAGCAGTCTGCTCATTTGATTTCCATTGCGGAAGTTGAAAAGAGAGAAGAAAATTTGAGAAATGCTTTGGCTTCTAAGAAGCAATGTATGGTTGATGTAAGATCTTTAATTCTCTTGTACCTATTCTTCCTTGCACTATTTGTATTTTCAAATATTTTAACAGCTTCATATTTCTTTTGCTTTTTGTCAGAATATAATTTGACTGTAATTCTTAACATACCCAACCATGTACCTTTATGCTAAGTTTCCTGACTGTTAAGTTCTTGTTGATTTTATCCTGTTTGTTTGACAAAATATATGAATACTTTGTGCAAAACCAAATTTTTGGTGGCATTTCGTTGTAATTTTGCTTTAGTTTTTGAAGTGTATTACTTTGTTTTTGAAAACCAAAGTAAGTATGTTCTGAAGACTGAGTTTGAGTTGGTTTATGCTTTTAGGAACCAAGACACTTTTCTTTAGGGGAAACTAGTTTTACTTTGTTTGCAATTTGTGATATTGAACTAGGGAAAACAATGCTTATAACCAAATTTTCCTACTTATGAGACTGGAATGTGTTTCTGCATTGGGATTCCAAGTTTGGTAATATTTGCCAACATAATTCAGAAGTTTCTCATGATAGCATCTAGTTTATGCGGAACATGATCTTTTGCAGTCTCAACTCGCAACAATTATCAATTTAAATGTTATTTTATGGTACATTAACATGTTGCAATCACGACCCAACAATGTTTTGGTTGCTCGACACACGGAGTCACTGCGGTATAATTTTGTCTTACCTGATGTTTCAATATGCTATATTGTAGGATGTGAAACTTGCGCTACTATGCTATCCCGGTTCATCTTTTATTTAGACAAGGCCTATCTATAATTGGTGGTTAACATTGAAATAGTTTTGCATTAAATTCAGTATCCTTTAAATTTAATGAAAAAGGAAACACGAAGGAGAGGCCTTCGTGTTCCTATGGCGGTTGGTTTTGATAGCTTTCTTCGCCCCAACTTGGTGAATCGCATCTTCGCACAACGATATTCTTTTTTTCTGTGCTCCTTTCTGTTCTTGCATTAAACAGTTGGGGAGGCAGTGGTAGAAACGAAGACGCAGACTCTCAAATACGAGATTGGGCACCTCACTTTGTTTAAGCTCTTGATGATGCCTGCATTGACTTTCTTTAGAAGGCGCATCAATGGCTTTTTCAAAGATCTGGAGCATATAAAATAACTAATTCTAAAACTTTTAGGCTTTTTATTTCAACTGAGGCTACTTGTGGAGATGTCTGCTTACTTGCTCGATGCTGAAGGAACTCATTATATTCCCCTTCAGATAAAGAAAATCCCTGGTTACCTGTAGTCTCGGTCTCGGTCTGAGTAAGAGTAACATGAGCATTTCTGGATGGTTGGCCATGTAAAGAATAGCACACTTCACGAGTGTGTCCAAGTTTATTACAATAAGAACACTTGGATCGAGATCTCCCAAAATGACCTCCTGAGATGTCCGATTTTCCACTGTCTGAGATGCGGGAATAGAGGAGTCAACAATTGGTGGTGAGACCACTATGTGACTGGGTGGCGCAACAAGACGAAGCAATCGAGAGAATAATTCATCAACTGTAGGAATTGAAGGACTAGCCAAAATTTGGTCTCTCACCGAGTCAAGGTCATTAGGCAGTCCAACAAGTGTAAGAACTAGAAACATCTTCTATCGCTGCTCTTGTTGTTTTTCAACACTAGCTCTGACTGGCACAGTGTTTTTGAGAGCGCGAAGCGCAATAAAGCGACAAGGGCTCGCCTCGCTTCAAAAGCAAAGCGCACGCTTTATTAAAGTGAAGCGCAATTCTTAAAAAACATAATGTAAAATTATAAATAATCAAAAACTTCAATTTAAATACTTAAAAGTAGGTACTAGGTACCACCAAATCATCCACAAACCATAGGACAAGTAAAATCAAAGCTACTAAATTACTAGAATCAACATCTTATTCTTCTACTCTTCTTCTTCTTCTTCAAGATTGTCAAAATCTTGAATTCCTCTATTATCTTCATAGTGCTCGTCATCTTCTTCTTCCCCCTCCTCTTCATAATCACTTTCATCTTCATCAATTAGGGATAGGGATCGACTTGTAGTAGCCACACTTTTTCCCTTCNACACCATATTGGTCCCACCATTCAACTAAGAAGTCAAAAAAATGTTCAAGAGTTAATAAGTATAAAGAATACATTGAAGTTAGAGCTATAAAATATAGAAACACTTGGTCACCTGGCGACTTCGTCGTTCTTTGTTTAATAGCAAGTCGGAGCTTAAAAAGTCCTTCAGCTGCCTTGTAAATAGCAAGCTGATCTACTATCTTTTCTTGCAAGTCTTCATCTGGGTTCAACTTGATAACAACCTGATGGAATCCTGTCTACACTTCTTTAGCCAATGAATTCTTCTCATGCTGCTCATAAAAGAGTGATGGGTTCAGAATAAGTCCAGTTGCATGCAAAGGTCTATGAAGTTGCTCATCCCATCTTGCATCAATGATCTGAAAGACCTTTGCATATTTCTGCTCATCACTGAATGATGCTTGAATAGTCTCCTTGGCCCTATCCATAGCTTCATAGAGGTAGCCCATTGATGGTTTTTGCTCCCCATCCACCAAACGGAGTACTTTAACCAAAGGGCCACCAATTTTAAGAGCATGAAGGACATTATTCCAAAAAGAATAAGAAAGAATAATGCGTGCAACCTCTTTCCCCGCACTTTCCTTTGCAAATTTACTCTTGCTCCATTCCTCTGAAGTGACCATCTTTCTCAAATTGTTTTTTTGACAGTGGATACTATGCAGAGTCAAGAAAGCAGTGGCGAACCTTGTCTTGCCCGGTTTCACCAAATTTTTTTGCATGGTGAATCTTCTCATCATATTCAATAACAAGGGCCGCTGAGAAATATAAGAATGTAACCTAACGCCCTGGCCAAAAACTGTAGAGAAGGGTTTTTCCCTGAAAATGTCCCCGAACATCAAGTTGATACAATGAGCCGCACATGGAGTCCAATAGACATTCTTGTACGCTCCTTCAATCATGCCACCTGCTTTCTTATTTTCACTTGCATTATCAGTGACCACTTGAACAACTTTGCTTGGACCAATCTTTTCGATGGTATTCTGAAACAAGGTGAACATTTTGATGTGGTCAGTGGATGAGTCACTAGCATCAATGGACTCAAGAAACAAGCTTCCCCGGGGAGAATTCACCAACACATTAATAATCATTTTCCCCGTTCTTGCCGTCCACTTATCCATCATAATGGAGCAGCCGTACTTGTTCCACACAACTTTATGCTCCTCAACAATTTTATTAGTCTCCTCCACTTCCTTATTTAGATAAGGACCTCTTATTTCATGGTAAGTGGGAGGCTTCATTCCAGGTCCGTATTGACCAATGGCCTCAATAAAGTCTCCAAAAGTGTCATAGTTGACACAATTGAAGGGGAGCCCAGCATCATAGACCCATCGTGCAAAAGCTCTAACCACACGATCCCTCAAAATGTCTTTAGCAATTTTTTGTACATCTTTTCCACCGCCCTTTGCTCCCGGCTTCTTTGAGAAGTAGCAATCCATAGGACCTTTAGTCGATGATCCATGGCTTGACCCATCTCTTCCCCGTTTTGTTGGAAGTGACAATTCTTCAATATCATCATCATCATCAAGATTGGTCACCATTGGTTGATGAACCATTTGATTTTTTTGCTCCTTCTTCTTCTCAACAAAATTCTTTATTTCTTCCCTCACCTCCGGTGGACATTTCGGACAACTTGTGACGTTTCTATCGCCACCAATTAGATGGTATTTAAAGCGATAAATGCCACCCGTTGTAATCTTGTTGCAAAACTTGCATACAACATTTATATTCTTCTCATTAGTTCTCTCGCCATATTGCCAAGCCGGGTCTTTCTCTTTCGAACTTTGAGATATTTTAATATCCCTATTATTTAAGATATAAGAAAAAAAACATAATCAATAAACTGAAAATACATATAATATTAATATATATAATAATTAATTATATAAACTGAAAAAAACATTTAAAAAATCACATAAACTAAAAATAATACATGTATATAATTAATTTTATATGCTGAAATATAATAACGCAGAAGCAGAAACAGAAACAGAAAAAGAAGCAGAAGAAGCAGAAGCAGACGCAGAAAAAGAAGCAACAGAAGCAGAAGAAGCAGAAGCAGAAGGAAAATAAGCAGAAGAAGAAGCAGCAGAAGAGCAGAAGCAACAGAAGCAGAAGGAAAATAAGCAGAAGAAGAAGCAGCAGAAGCAGAAGAAAAATAAGAAAGGAGAAGGAGAAAGGAGAAGAAGAAAGGAGAAGAAGAAATGAAGAAGAAAGGAGAAAGAAATTACCTGGACTGGAGAAGCAGTGGTCGAGCTCGAGCTTGAGAGAGAAGGGGTCAACCCTAGCCCTTTGTCGATGTCTCTGTTTTGACGGGAGAAGCAGTGGTCTGTTGTGACTATTTAGGGGTCTTTTTTGTATAATTAAAAAACAGACCCCAAGTTTTTTTTTTAAAAAAGGGCCAGTGCGCTTTTGTAAAAGAAGCGATCGCTTCGTCGATTTTCTCGCTTCGTCGCTTCAGCTAGTGAAGCGCGCGCTTTTCAAGATCGCATCGCTTCGAGCAGCCAGAAGCGATACACTGTCGCTTCGCGTCGCTTCGCGCTTTAAGCGACGAAGCGATCGCTTTTCTAAACACTGGACTGGCATCAACTTCTTAAATTCCTCTATAACTGCCTGCACCTGTCCCAAGTAGGTTGATCAGTGTTTTTGAGAGTGAGAAGCACAAAAAAGCGATAGGGTTATCTCCATTCCACCTACACTACTTGCCACCTTAAAACCAGTCATCCACCTACTGTTATTTGCTGTCTTTATCATGTTATTTAGACCTTCCATTGCTATTTGGAACAAAAAGGGGGAAAGAGGGTTGCCCTGTCTCAAACCTCAATGTGAAGGGAAGAAACCTTCTGGGGTACCATTGATGAGAACAGAGAACCTGACTGAGCTTATGCAGAAAAGCATACATTTAATCTACTTTCTTCCAAAACCTATAGATTTCAGCATTTTAAGAAGAAAAACCCAATTGACATGATCATATGCTTTCTCAATATCAAGTTCGCGAAGAATTCCAGGTGTCTTCATCTTTAGCCTTGAATCAACACATTCATTAGCCACTAGTGCTGCATCCATTATCT